TTCTTTTGGTCTCCTATTTTCCCCTTTTCTGCTACTTTTTTCCCTTGCTCTTCATCTCGATTTTTCCTTCTCATCTTATCTTACTGGCATCCATTTTCCTCCTGCATCTAAACTTCAATCTTTAGCCATATTTTCTATGGAGATGGTGCGTATAGTTCCAATGCTTTACCTAGCTCGGGTGTTCCTGAAGCCACCACCTTCTCTCTATTGTTTGCTATTCCTAGCAGTGATGCTCATGGTTTTGCATGGACTTTTTTTGCTTGATAGCCAACTTGTTTATTTCAGTTGTTGGTTTTCTTTACTTTGTGACTGTGCTCGGAAAGCAGACTGGGGTTGGATGATGAGATTGCTGAGGCGATATTATGTGGTGAGCATGGATTTGTGCATGTCAAGATGCATTGTTTTGGCTAAGGCGGTAGTAGTTGATTTCTTGATTTTCTATTTTTGGGCCTTAATTGTTTAGTTTGGCCCTTGTTGGTTTGGCCCCTTTTTTTGGGTTGTTTATGCTTTTCTATTTCTGGTCATTTCATTTGTAGATCTGTTTCTTTGTAGTTAATAATTTTCCTTGACCAAAAAAAAAAAAAAAAGTTAGGAAACTAGCTAAAAAAAACAGCCATACAATTCATAACACCTACAACCCAATTATCGTATTAATCTAAATTAAATTAAATGAAGTTAAACTCACTAGAGAACTATGAAATTTTAACGTGGAATAATTTAGTATAGTAGACTTCTTCAATTACAAGTAGAAAGTCTTAGGTTCGACTTGCATATATACCGAATTCGATACTTAATTGTTAAGTTGGCCAAACATGTAGCTTAACCTGAATCTCTTATAAAATGGGATATTATTGTATAAAAAAAGTGTAATGCTTGAAATGTACTATTCCATGTTGTTCAAATATTACACTTCATCTCCTTGTGCTCTTTCTAAATGCTTGGTCCTTACTTGGATTTGTTGAAGTATCTCCAAGAACACCAACTATACTTTTGTTTCTTTAGGCCATCTTTAACCGGGCCAGCTAAAGAGCTATAAGTTAAAACATGGCCCTTCTTGATAGAAAACCTATATCATTTCTACACTATTTCTACACCATTTCTCACATTCTTTTCACCATTCTATACTATCTTGCCTCATTTTTTTTTTAATTCTTCACATTCTATTCACCTCAAACACTTTTGGGAAATTTTATTTAAACCCATGTAACCTCTTTTTACACCCAACTTAAATTTTAAATGTTAATTGTCACACCCCGACCGAGATCAGGGCATGCTGGCTGTCACGTGGAAGTGACGTAAACATGTGCACAGTGCAGAAGCTAGAAAAATAATAATAAAAGTACAAATAAAAACAAACTTAGCTATACACAAGGTAAATAACATACATGTGCAAGCGTAAGTGTGAGAAACAAAGTTCAGAGCACGGAAGACCTAATGCAATCCGGGCCAAACAACACTAAATAAACACACCCAAAGGTGGTCCTACACTGGTGATAATTTGTCAGGTAAGTCGGAAAATCCTCTGCGGAGCCACCAAAAGCGCTAGCCAAACTAGAACCTGGAGGGACGCAAAACAAAAAGCGTGAGTGGGCAAAAACAAAGCTTTTCAAAAACCATTTCATAAACAAAGTTCTAACCCTTCGCCGTAAAACCTGTATACATCCCAGAAAAATAGAATATATATATATATATATATATATAATAACCATGCTCGGAAATATGCCATGCCAAATGCCTCGAATTAAAATGCAAGTACTCAGGTAATGCCAATCCATGCCATATAATCTGTCAACCGGAGTTACCTAACGTGACCTGTACGGCTGAAACTAGAGCTCAAATCTCCAACTCACTAACTACACCTGCACATGAGTCGGAACCACCTAAAGTGGTATGTACGACAGGACTGGGTGTATAATAAGTATGCTCAAGTGCTACGATCACGTGAAGACTGGACGAATAATCGCGGGTCACCTACAAGTCGAAACCACCTAAAGTGGTCTGTACGACATGACTGTGCACCTAACTTGGATCCAAGATGAGCGTGTGGTGCGGGAGGTGAACATCACGTGAAGGACTATGCCCAACTCTAGGTGGGAGCACTAACACCGAGGGTGCAGGTTATGAGCTTTCTATGCATCTCAAATCACTACTGAATATAAACAAAAATCATAACTCACCTGACACTTACCTGTGCGTCCGCAGCACCAACACACACACACACACACACACACACACACACACACACACACATATATATATATATGCAACTAATAATGCATAATTAAATGGGTAAACATAATGCATGGCATAAAAACGTATAGACGTTTCATTTCACTTTCTGGGAAAAACATAAGTATATAGGTATATAAGGAAAATCAAAAGCCCACTCACTGGTATGTAGAAGGGTCGTAAACCCCTTGCCTCGAGTGACCGTGCTCGTCCTCGGGATAGGTCCCACCTATATGCGAAACAACTATAAATACGTAAATTTTAAAGCACATAACCAACAATATGAAATAACTTCTCATACAATGCTCAAATGGGGTGTATGAATATACCAACGTGATCTATTCAACCTCATGAACATCCCCATATTTTTAAAATAATTTTCCGACGCTGCACGCGCCCCCACGCGCCGGCACGTGCCTGGCACACTGACGGCGTCAGTTAACGCTGTTAAGGATATTCCGTTAACTCCGACGGATTCCGTTAACGCCATTAGGAATATTCCGTCCAAATTGACGGATTATTCCGTCGTTTTCTCCAGCCAAACTCCGGCGCCGTCGCCAGCGCCGGAAAACCGGGAAAATTTCAAAGCTTGATATCTTCTTCATTTTTCAACCAAATTTCACAAAATTGGTACCAAAATGAAGCTTACAACAAGAGGAACAAATCCATACTACTTTCAAGCACTAAAACCCACGGAATCTAGCCAGAAAAACACCACCAACTCCAGCCAAACCTGCAACTCACGATCCCGACGTCCAAAACCTTCAACGAACCATCTTGAGCCTCCTAAGGACCTCACCAAGCTTCTTACAAGCTTGAAATTCCCAAAAACACAAGAATTAACGTGTGCATGAACAATGACCAAATCGGGGGATCCCGAGTTCGACGTGAAAACGAAGGTATCCTTACCTGAAATGGGTATGGTTGAACTCCTAAGGACCTCATGAGCACAAATATGTAATTTGTTTCCACGATCCGTGAAGTTTCCAAGGGTTATGGTGTTGTCTGTACAAGAAGATAGGAATAGGAGAGAGAGAGGGTCTCGGGACAGGGCAGAGAGAGAGGAAATGAGTGTGGGTGTGTGTGTGGTCCAAAATCAACTAACCAAAGCCCAAAAATGACCACACAACGAAACAAACATACTAGGGGCAAAACTGTCATTTCACCCCTACGGTATGAAAAGTCCGGGACAGGCTGTCACATAATTGTCTATTTTACCCTATTGTATAATTAATATTAAGTGCAAAATGAAATTAATAATAAAACTCAAATTTCTCAATAAACCCAGACACTATAATTAAACCGTAGCATCACCCTTTGTTTATCCTATGTTCATTCCGGCTAAAACCCTAATAGTTCTGGTAGAGAAAACAAACTTCTCTATTGATAGATAGTGATTTTGAAGTTTTGAATTCTCCATTAAGGTATGACTCGATTTATGAATATTTTGTTTGTTTGCTTCTTCTTTGGATTAAATTTTATACTTATTATATTATATTGTATTTGTTTTTTTTCTACCGTTTGTCTGTGCCCCAATACACCATTGCAAGGACTTTTGATTTGTAGTGCAAAGACATATAACTTGATTTTTGGTGTAAATAAAGATTGCCCAACCTCTTAAACCTTAACCACTATAACTAGCAAGTGGCATGTCTCCATCCAAATCCAAAGCATCAAGGTCAAATGTTTCTGGCAAAGTGATGGATTGAACTGGAGTTTGCATTGCATTCTCTAGCAAATTCAAATCTATGGAAGGGTCTCTTGGATCCTAAGTCTGTGGATGGGTTTGGTAGCAGAAAGAAAAAAAAACATCCATGGAAATGCTAGTCATATGCAATTATATAGGGGCAAAGGACGCCTCTTTAAAGAAAAAAAAAATCAATTAAAGATGTTATTTTATAAAAGGAATGGGTGTAAAGATAACTTTACATTTTGAATTGGGTTTGTGAGGGTAGTTTAGGTCATAAATTTGAGTTTAAAGAGATACTAATTCTTTAATAAAAAACAATATGCGTGAAAAGAGTAAGTTAGGTGTAGAAAGAAGTTAGATGGGTTCAAATAAAATTTCCCAACACTTTTTTAATATCTGGAGGCTTATTGATTTTGCGACAAATGACACTTAGAATATGTTTGGAAAGAACAAACTTAAAATAATAAATTATTGAAGGGGCTAAAAAATAGCCCTATTCGGTCATATTTATATACCATTTCTAACTGAATAGGGCTATTTTTTAGCCCTCTCAATAATTTGTTATTTTAAGTTTGTTCTTTAATTTTATTAGTAAATTGAATTAAACTACCATATTAAAACAAAGTTTCCAAACATATACTAAGTGTCATTTGTCGCAAAATCAATAAGCCTCCGGATATTAAAAAAGTGTGTTGAGATGAATAGAATGTGAAGAATTGAAAAAAATGAGGTAAGATAGTATAGAATGCTGAAAATAATGTGAGAAATAGTGTAGAAATGACTAAAGATGGACTAAGGATACCTATCACTGCACTACAGAATAATAGTCCACGATCCGGGAAGAGATCCTCTCCGAATCCCTTCTACCTAATCTCACTCATCAAACAATCCGGACCCTTGAAAGTTGATTCAATGGCTACAAACAGAGATCCACTCTAAAAGTTATAATAACTTTAGTTATTAAATCAAATTTCAAAAATTCGGATTGTTTGAAGAAGAAAATTGGGTGGAAGGAATTTGGAGAGAATCCCTTTCCCCACGGTCCAACAATAAAAGCCAGAAAGAAGTCGATTTCTTGAAGCAACCGTGATCTCATCATGTCAGGCAAAGATTGCCAAACCGACGCGTCTCAATGATCTCATCTTTAGCTCACAAGTTATTCTCAAAGAAAAAGCAAAAGCAAAAGCCGTAGTATAAGCAAAGCACCCCAAAATTCAGGGGCACACTTCTCCTTTTTCTGTACTTGATTATTGACTAAAAGCACCAGAATTAGAAGCTTCATATTGTTTTCTTCAATTGGCTGCCTACTGAGGGAGAGAGTAAAAGAAAGATGGGCGTTCTGGCTGCTGCTTCTGTGCTTCCTTCAGATTTCAAGCCTTCACTCTCTCTCTCTCGTCACAATACAAGAACACCGAAGAAAAGAAACAGGGCCATATTTCCTGTAAGTTTCCTTTTACTTTTAATCATTTTATGCGCAGAACTTTTTTATTCAAGCTATATTCGAATCGAATCTCCCATATGTTGGCGAGGGATTCTAACTTGGGTGCTTTTGGATTTTCAGTTTTTTGTTGCTGAGTATTGAAATAGAATTCTAGGTTTGATTTTGATATGATTTGATTAGGTTAATGCAAGGCTATTTGGGCCAGCAATATTTGAAGCATCAAAGCTGAAGGTTTTGTTTTTAGGAGTGGATGAAAAGAAGCACCCAGGAAAGCTTCCGAGAACTTACACACTCACTCATAGTGATGTCACCTCAAAACTCACTCTGGCAATTTCACAAACAATCGACAACTCTCAGGTTTTAAGAATTTTGAATTGAAGTCTAAATTTTTCGATTAATTATTGTAACAAAGAATTTAATGGAAACTGGGAAATTTGATGGTGCAGTTGCAAGGGTGGTACAACAAGCTGCAAAGAGATGAAGTTGTGGCTCAGTGGAAGAAAGTCAAGAACAAGATGTCTCTCCATGTTCACTGTCACATAAGTGGAGGCCATTTTCTCTTGGATTTGTTTGCAAGGCTCAGATACTTCATCTTCTGCAAAGAATTACCTGTGGTAAATCGGCAATTAATTAATAAATTTTTATCCAACTAATAATTTTCCGTTGTGCATTTGATACATGGATTTATTATCAGAGATCACATCCGTAACAGTTGTGGCTACGAGTGATAGTTGACTTCTCTGATTGACTTATTTGTCTTGATGATATTCACTAAAACCAATATTCCCTTCCCTTGGTAGGTTTTGAAGGCCTTTGTTCATGGGGACCGCAACTTGTTCAACGGCTACCCAGAACTGCAGGAGGCTTCGGTATGGGTCTACTTCCACTCGAGCGTTCCAGAATTCAACAAGGTGGAGTGCTGGGGCACACTCATAGACGCCGCCGCCGCCACCGCACCTTCTAGCGAATCATCAGGCGGGGCCCACCACCAGGAAAACAAGGGCAAGGGGGAGGAGGCCACTTCTCCAAGCAACTGGGTCTTACCACAGCCGTGCCAAGAGGACTGCGACTGTTGCTTCCCACCAACGACTTGGATTGCATGGCCCCAACAGCTTCCCCAGGCAAATCAAACTAGGGTTGGGACCCACCAGAGGTTTCAGGGCTAACCCAAGATACAAACTAAACATTTTTTTCTTTTGTTTGTTTAATTAATGTAAGTAGATATATACCTATTAGTTGGTGCTTATCTGTTGGGTCACAGACCAATCGTTCGACAACTGTCAATTCACGCTGCATCTTATCATCAAATACATTTCCAAGTTTGGTATATACATTATATATGGTATTTAATCCCATTACAAGTTTGGTAAATAAAAGGAAAAATAATTCACTTTAGAACCAAAAAAAAACATCAACCATGTTATGATTGAGAAAATAAACCACCCTATAAAATCATCGCCTAAATGCATTTTGAATGAATCAATAAAATAATGGAAGCATTTTTATCTCTTCTTATGGGGTTTGAATTTCTGCACAACAAACTATGAGAAAATTTTGGTTTAAAAATGGTAGATTCAACTTGTATCATCTTTCTTGGATATTAGAGATTTGTGTGTTAATCAAGTCAAGCTCATAGGATAAAATCAGATACTGAATTGAAACCAAAGAGGACAAAATCGGTTGCTTCCTAGTTTCATGATATGAAAAGTTAGAGAAGGTGGATTCTTATTTTTTTTAGATTTTTGCGAAGAAAAGCAAGGGGAAGAGAAAAGACAATATGCGGCTGAGAAGAAAATGAGAGGTGTAGTAATTTAGTAGAAAATTCTATTAAGAAAAAAATTAAACATAAATTTATAACAACTATTGTAGATAATGCTTATTAAGTGGCATGTTTTGAGTGGATGGTAGTGTCACTCAACATTGTTCAGTGGCAAGCTAAGCCCATACAAGTTTTTCTCCTAGTTTAGGTGTTTACAGACTTTGCATGAGGTAATCAAGGTCCGGTACGCATGGATGAGTCTAAACTAGAGGTTTTTGATTTGGAAATTCGTGTCTCTAAGACCGGCCTTGAGATTTCAAGGGTCTGTGGGAAAGTAATAATGCTAAGAATGTAATTTCATTTCACTTGTACTATAAATGTAATAGGACTAAGATTTCATACAACCAACTGATGGTGTGGTGTATTCGTGTTTTCCATTAATTTTAAGAGGCCAAGGGTTCGAATTTGTGTCATTTTATTGTGAAAATTCATGCATTTAATTAAGGGTAAATTGCGGTTTGATCCCTGAACTATCACTCTAGTTGAAATTGACCCCCTAAACTATTTGAAATCAGTCAATTAACCCCTTGCGGTTAGACTGCGGAATCAATTATGTCAAAGGGCAAATTAGTCATTTCATCATTAATTGTTACTTGTCAACTATAACTACCAATAAAATTTTGACATATGGACACAAAATAATTCAAAAACATATAGCATAAAACATAAATAAAAAAAAATAAATAAAAAAACCAAACATTTACATAACGGACCATCTCACATTGTCATTACACATTATTTTGTTTTCAATTGTCATAAGTTTATTGGTGGTTATACTTGGCAAGTAAGAATGGATGAAGGAAACACTAATTTTCCTTTGAATTTGGCCAAATAATAGATGGAATCTACAAACAAGGGGTTAATTTACCAAAAAAATAATTTAGGGGGTCAATTTCAACTGGAGTAATAATTGAAAAGGTCAAATGGTAGTTTACCCTTTAATTAAAGAATTAAAAAAGTTAAAAGAAGTCAGATGCAAGGTTCAAACCCACTTCCAGGCTCCCGTGCTAATTGATCACTTTTGTAAACTAGCTACACATTTAAATATATGGACTAGAATTCTCTCCCCTACTCTTTCCATCCTCTCTTCTCACATTCTCTTATTTTGTCTTTCTCTTACTATAAAAAATTAATATAAGATATTGACGTGGCTTAACTGTGACCGCTCAATTAGAAAGAACATAGTTGCTAGGTTTTGGCGACTTTGTTTTATTATGAGATAAGTACCTATTGTTTTGGTCGTCGGCGTTTGTCATGTGAAACTTACAAAAGTTGATTCAACACGCTTGTAATTTAGTGGTTAGGAATTTGTTCTACAATGAAAGGGGAGTGGCCTTGAGAGCTCGGACAAGAAAATCTTAGAATCCATGTTTTGAAAATAATTCGGGGTGTTTTATAAAAATAATTTTCTTTCTTAATACCAAGGCTCAAACAGTCATTTCATAGTAAGGTATACCAGCCCTTAATAATACATTTTGAAGTGGGATGTATTCAACAATATGTGAGGTGCTAATAAAAAAACCTACACTATTCTTTATTTTTGCAATTTGCTTCAACGGTACGTAGAACTAAGTGGTATGGAAAATGAACATTTGAGACTAAAAAAGAAAAGATACACAAACTGAATGTTTGAGACAGAAAATGAAAAATTTAGTAGTTGTAGAACTCAAATCTAAGGGTAAATCACATGTAGCCCTTAATGTTATGTAGTATTAACCTCTTGTGACCTTTTTTTTTTCCTTCGACTTCAGAAACTTTTCCTCCTGCTCCTACTCGTTCTCTTCTCTTCCTCTTAAAATTTGGAACTTTTGTCTTCCAAATCAAAAAACTTAGAAGTTAGAACTATTTTTGTTGTTAACGGTTGTGAGAAACCATGAAATTTGGTGGAAGAATCTAGACTGAAAGGGTGGTTGTGTGAACTTTTCAATTCTCTTTCGGTTTTTGTTCTCGAATCAAATCCTTTGATTCAGTGTAGTTGAAGTAACCTAAATAGAGTGTTTTTCAGACATTTTAAGATTAAATTGAAAAAAAAAAAAACCTATATATAAATTTTTGAAAAAATATGTAATTTCATGTACCGTCGTTTGGAACCTTAATTTCAAGTACAAAGAAGACCCTTTAATTACATTCAATTTGTGGTTGCGCCGCCTTGTGCGATCAGATTTGGCGGCTCTGCCTTGACTGGAGTGTCTTAATCTTCCACAAAGATGAGCCAAGCAGTGGTTCCATTCCCAAAGTAGTGTAGTTTTTTTTGTTGTTTTGCCTAGCAAGTGTTGTAGTCCCGCTTGTGCAGTAATTGGATGTGGCCTTCACCTTTGATGGATGAGTTATGCAATCTTGTCTTTCAACGATGACTTTCTGTGATCACGCTCCTTTGTAATGACTTTATATGGCTTCACACTTTAGCGAAGTTTGGTGTGTTTGGAGGTATAGGTTTGTTGAGTCTATCGTTTTTGTGATAGATCTGTATTGGCAACATTTGTAAGTTCATGCAGGTAGTAGCCGTTTAGAGATACTCTAGTTTGTTTGGTGGTACGTCTATATTTGTTTGTGATGATCAATGAAATAACAATTTTAGAATTAAAAGTTCCCTTGTAAAAATAATCTACCAATTCTAGAGTAGTTTAAATTCTGTAAACAAAATATCACAAAATATTATAAACAAAATTGCGTTAAACATTCAAATCTGCATCTCACCTTTCACGAAGTTGCACATGCTGTCGTTACGAATCACTTGGTGGCGATTCAATCTATAGCCACAGATCGGAAGGGTGTTAATCCTAACAAAGGAGAAGGTTCTGAATTGTCAAACATTGTGAATTATATGGTTAATGGTCCATTGGTTTAAGGCAGCTCTATTTGTGAGCCCTTGCACGATGACGGGAGTTCAAATCTTGTCGGTGACTAATGTAACATCTAATATAACAAAATTCAATGTTTGTCCAAGGATTTCGCACGTGCGATTGCGATGACACAAACTAGAGTTGCGAAATCAAATCACCTAATTTTCAACTAAAATTTGAAAATAAAATTGCGATCCATTTACAAAGAATGTGAAGTAAACTTACACCACAATGACCCAACTTATCTCCCAGCGTATCCTCCTCTTTAAATACACAAAGTACAGGCGCACCGAGAAGGTGAGAATAATTGATCACAACCCCCCTTCCATACATTATATATAGTAGACTACTTATGTGGGAAACGAGAGTAAAAATCGAAACCCGACCAAACCCATCACTTCATCTCTCGTCTTAGCCTTTTGAGGTCCCGGCATAATCTCTGCTCGTCTGTGATATCATGTCAAAAAGGAATGACATCGTCCTGATGTTCCCATCCTCAGGCGGTCTGAGCAACTGTGAAGGTTGCCAAGTCAGTATATTGACGTCATGTACAAGGTCACCGGATAACCGTTCTTCCAAGAGATGATGCTCCAATTTCACTTTCTGTGTTCTGCAGTAACAGTTTCATTCATATGACATGAGCTGTATTCCTCTTGAGCCCGAAATAGATTCAAGGGTAAAGGGTATGAAAGGGAACAGCTAGATGCAATTTAGTCTTTGGTTCAACCAATTTCACTTCACAATATATAACGTAAGATAACGTGATTATAAGGATATAGAACACAATTGTTAAGCGATGTCAGGGAAGGAAAATAATCAATGCTACTAAACTACCCTTGTTTTTCTCTAATGATCTTACTGGTGAGCAACTCCTACGAACTAAAATAAAATGTAGACTTTACAACGACAGAAAAGGAGTTCTTAAGGAAGCATAATCAATTATGTATCCTTTATAACCTAGTCTGATAACAATTAAGGAAGAGCTATTAACCAAATCGTTTGCGTTAAACATTCCAATCAAGTACTGAGTCTTTTACCTGGGACTTAGGGGAAGGAAACACGTTCCAAAATCTTAGTGTTTCATCTCCTGCTCCAGTGACAATTGTCTGAAACAATAATCAATATGACAGATCAAAATATGCCTAAAGGAATGAAAAGTAATTTGCACAACCATAAAAAAGGGGTAAGTAAATTCAGAAGGAATTGGGTAAGAACCTGTCCATCAGGCGAGATGGCAAGATAAAGAACTCTGTATGAATGGCCCGTAAGAGTTGCAAGCTATATCAGCAGAAGAAGATGAAAAATTAGCAAAGAAAATAATGACGTTTATTGGTTACGACCACAGGGAATTGACAAGACTTTTTTTCACCTTTGACATGGTGGGATATCTCCAAACTATTATCTGATTTTGGGAGTACCCATGGGTGCTGACTAGTTCATTGACATTTTTCGACCACACAAGATTGCATACCTGCAGATATAGAATGGATATAAGTACAGCCTAGCATTGTTATCAGAAATAGGGAGGGATTTCAGTCACCAACTAAATTCATGTCTATGAACTGAATGTATCAATATCATCACAAATGAGATGAACCCAAATTTTTTTCCAGGTGAATTAGTTTTTCTTTTGATTTAGCCCCTATATGAGATACACAACGAAAGTAACTGGATTCAAGTTGTGAATGTTTTA